GAAAGAGAATAGGTTGAAGGTAGCTAGGAGAAGCGACAATAGGTTAGAGGTGGCGGGAGCGCGGTGGTCGCAATTAGGTAAGTAACTGGAGAGGTTGATAGTAAGTTGGAGACAATTAGCAGGGCTGACAGCAAGGGGGAGATGGCTGGGAGGGATGGTTGGGTAAAGGAAACAACACATACTCTGTTTCTGATCGACGACAACTACTAAAGCGATGTGTACAACAAAGGGGGCGCTACAAATGATAAAAAATCACCACCTCTGGAGGAATTACATCTGGAGTACCTTCTCGCCTATGGATATTAGATATGCCGACGACTGTTTTGAGAAAAATCTAATAGAAAAACCAAAAACCTATGTTAAATGAACACATATAATACATAATTAACTTGGATTAGATCCTCTAATTGAAAGGAGATACCAATCCAAGTTGAAAGGGTCAATCAACCCTACTGAGTCTGGACCGACTCGGTCTAGAAGAAAGAGCAAGTGGGATTTCCCACGGCTTCTACGCCCGCACCTACGTTAGGAAGACTCTAGTCTAGTATCAATGGAGAGAACAACATCAGTCAATCAAAATATGAAAAGAATTCAAAGAAAGACTTTTTGAGCATTTTAGAACCATGCATGAAAGAGGATTTACATGATTTTTTTGCAATGGTCCATGAAGGGTATGCCATATATTATAAAAAGAAAATTGAGATGCTATTTGGCCATTCCTTGGAAGATCACATTGACCATTTGAAAAAAAAAAAAAACAAAAAAAAAGTATTGATAGTACTCGGGGTGTTGGCAAACCCATCGAAGGTGGTAAATATGTTGAACTCGCCACTACCGAAGACATTAAAATGGTTTAAAGAAATTATGGGAATTATAGGATACTGCCAAAAGTTTGTAAAGGGTTATAGTATGATTGTGTGGTTGTTGACGAAGCAGTTAAAGAAGAATGACTTTCAATGGGGGGAATCTACGAGCTAGGCTTTTAAGAAGTTAATGCCATGACCAGTGTACTGATGCCCAGGATAACTGATTTTAGCGAACCATTCATTGTAGAGACAGAGACCTTGAGCAATGGGTTAGGCGCAATCCTCAAGCAGGCCGACTCATCGTCTACTTTAATTAAGTATTGACCGCAAGAGTCAGACTAAAGTCAATTTATCAGTGTGAGCCACACAACTTAATCCAACAATAGTTTCCTCTCTTGCATCTTGAAGACAATCTATATTTCTGAGAGGGGAGTAATGTTAGAGTAGCGCCTACAACACCACCCGCCTCATACTCCACTTAGTTGACGTTTTGCCTGCCCAATAATTTGAAAACTTATATTATGTACCAAACTCAACGAGTAATTTAATCATTTGCTAGTTATTATTGTGGGATATAAATATGTCTTAATAAGTTTAGAGCTAGTTATGTATTTGTGATTGTTGTCTAACATATTAGGATTAGGCTTTAAGAGAGATCGTGTACCTCTCGAATTGTAGGTGTTTATCTTTTATATATTCGAGTTGTGTGGTTTTGTGATGGGGAAGTAAAATATTTTGTTTGCCCTAATCTCCATAGATTTGTCTCTTTTCTATCAAATTTGTATCCTCTCTGAAAACCTAATTATCAGAAAAATAATTGTAGAGAAATTTACAACAGGATTTCTTTGGAGAAAATCATAACAAATAGTAGATGAAAACCTTTAAATACAAATTTAAATGTAGACAGGTTTTTCACCAACATAAATTTAATTACAATACAAGGATTCTGAACACAGTCACAAGATTTCTTTGTAAGAAATTCTTGTTATAATTCATCAAACCTTTTATCAAATATTCAAATCAATATAGTCCGTCTTCTGCGAGGATTGTGTATAATGATCACGTATAAAACAACTGGAAAATTGCCCCAAAGTTCCTATGACCGGACGTGTATATAAATGCAGGCGTGTTGGGAAAATCGGTAGAAGCAGCAAATAAAGCCATATAACCAGGGCTAGCAACTACCGTCCATGAACTCTATTAGTAATTCTTGTAGCAAACCTCTATGAGGAATCTTTCCTGCCGCACCATACATGGGAGCGAGCCCTCCGCTGACTGGACCAGGATTTTGTTTTACCTGGTTAAAAAATGGAATATATAAATCACATCAGTTCAGATTCATGGGGTGAAAAAGATTTGACGGAAAATATGTGAAAATATGTTTAAAATTCTGGCAAAAACAGACAATTTTAACGAAAATAGACATACAATTTTAACAGACTCCCTCAAATCATTCAGGAAGGCTTCATAAACAGGAACGTGTTGAAGTGTGACACAAATGTGAAGGCTGACCCGAGAAAAGGAAAACAAAATAGCTGGTTAGAGTTTGGAAACTGAAGAGAGGAAGAAGGCTACTAAAAATATCTTGATAAAACCAACCTGTTCGGCCTTTGCAAAGCATTCAAATGCCAACCTTTAGAAGAGATAATATCGTTGACCTCAAATATGTCTATGACATCAGAACCAAATGCTACTACAGTCATGTCAGGCTTTCCAACGATAAATAGTTCTGGAATTTCTTCAATCCTGGTTGAATATAAAAACCATTAATACTTTAAGAATAATAAAGAATTAAGTGCCAATAACGAGATATTCGTTCGTTACCCTTTCTGTATCTTCTTAGATACTTCCATAACCTGACGTGTATTTTCCAAGTATCCTTCAAAAGAGGAGCATATTGTATTTTAGGTGAAAGATATATTAAGAAACCAATCGGCTGGATGAAGAACAAAACTTGATTACCATTCAATCCCAATGACATCATTGCAGCCCATGCTCCAGCTATCAATCCACCAGGTCTACTTCCAGCAATTGTAGGAGAAACATAAAGCCCACCCGACCATTCAGTGACTACAGCAAGCATATTATGAAAAATAAATAAATGGTTCTAGAAACAAATCAAAAGGAAACTGCACTACTGCAATATTTCTAAGCTACAAAAGACATTTGGAAGGTAAAAATGATTATGTTAAGGAAGTAGCGGAATAGGTGTATCGGTTTGTCGTTTAAGCGTCAGCATTCAAAGAAAAGTGCATGGTTCTTACCAGCAACAAATTGATTCTGAGAGGGCACGTAAGAGAGTCCATGATGCAGATTGCCCACAAAAAGAACAGATTCAGTACACATCCATCAAAGTTGAATCAAATGCAAGAAGAAAAGAATGCATGCAGTCAGAAAGTAGGTTCATAATTTTCCCAGTGATAGAAAAGTAACATGAAAACTCTGCTCCTACTCAAATGTCAAAGTCAAACAGACATACAGAAGCATATGGATAACAAATAACTACAACAAAAGGTAATTAACTCTTGAAAACACAATGGACTTCTTTCATGACAATCGTTCTATATGCAGCCAAACAAGTTTGAATTTTAGTTTTTAGTTTTATTCACAAGGTCGAAGAATGTTAAGATTGCTAATTACAGAATAGCAGACAACCTGTCATCTTACCATCTTATTTAGGCAGTTAATACCAAATTACTATATAGTTTTAACATCCTAAAAGACGGAAGGCTTGCAAAAGGGAGGGCAGAGAACAACTACTACTTGCTGAGTGCTGGTTGGTTGTTAAAACTTGATTATAACTAACATTGGCTGAAGTTCAGCAGAAGCCAAGAAACTAAACAGGCTTTACGGCAGAAAGAACAGGATTTTTGACATTTTATTTGAACAATAAAGTAGGAATCTGCAGAACTAAACCAAAAGCTTAAAGGGGAAAATGCTTAGCAACCTATATAGTATATTCTCAATTTTTCTTTTCCATCCTTTATAAGAAACATAAATAAAATATATTACTACTGTGAATTTTATTTAAATCTAAATAAAAATTTCTTTTGTGATTCATGTTACCAGGGGTGATATCTAGTCGAGTTCTAAGAAGTTAAATCAACTGAAAATCAAGGATCCAGATTTAGCTCGATCCAAGTTATAGCGAAGACGAGTGGTCAATTTCAAGCGAGTTTGAAGATAAGTAGAGTCAAGTCTATTAGTTTTATTAATTTTTTTAATAGTTAATCAAGATCATTATTATTATAAGAGTGTTTGTTTATATATGTTAAAATACACATATGCTCATATATCATTATGCTGAGTAACTTTCAAATTGAATCAAATCAATTTCAAGCAAGTCACCCTCAAGTCTACGAAATTCATTTTAATTTCGAGTCATCTAAACAGTTATTGATTCCCGAATGAATTTTAAGTTTCAGACATAAATCATTAACAGCATTACCTATAAAGTAGGACACTTAACAGTTTGTGATTTCGAGTCATCTAAACAGTTAGTGATTCCCGAATGAATTTTAACTTTCAGACATAAATCACTAACAGCATTACCTATAAAGTAGGAAACTTGGATAGTAAGAATCACTTTGCCTTGCAAACATAACCAATGAGCCATACAAATCTTCATGCTCCAACAACAATTGCATTTTAAATCATGTTACTCTTTGAAAAGGAGGTGTTGTATGCTTAGGGCCTATTTAGTTGCTTGAAGTTAGAAAACATATATTTTTAAATGGTGGAATCTGCAAGATTTTGTCAGGTGGCAGATTTAAACACAATAAATACCCAAAAATCTAAAAAATGTAGTGCTTTGATTTTCATTCAAAGCAAGTGAAAATGGAATCATCATTTTTTTAAAAATGATTTATATCTACATGAAGCCAAATTAGGGCTTAAAAGCTTTTAGTAGAAAAAATAACTCTAGAAGATTTTCTGTCTGGAGGCTGTTGGAATTTTGGCCTGCAACAAATAAGCCAGCCAATCACACCATTTCCACAAACCATCCATTTTCTTTTTCTGAGTTAACTGAGTACAGCAGTGACACAAGCGGTAACCAAATAACAATAGAAAACAAATATTATTATCGAATTTGAATAGAAAATTACAAACAAGCAAATGAAAATAGGAAATTGCAACAACACGACACCTGCTAGTGTTGGATCAAGGGTGGTGGAGGTGGTCGGTGAGGGCCTAAAAGGTGGCTTGATGGCGGAGGAGTTTGTTGGCAAGCAGTAAACAGCAAGACAATAGTTTCCCAAGTTCCATACAGCAAGCACAGCAGAGATCGATGTGGAATGGCTGTCCTGGATGATGGCAGCTAGAGGAAGTGGCAGCTGCGAGGGTCGAAGGCAAGAACAGCAGGAAGGCAA